CTGTGTCCTAGCCTTTTTGCAGTGCCCTGTCCCTCTCCTTCAACCCACGAGCTGTGGCAGTCTTCATGTACAAGTGCCCTGGAAAAAAAACTCAGGAGAGCAGGCTTTTCCATAAGGCAATTGAGCTGTGCACATTCCTCTCCACGCTGTTGTTTTCTTCTTCCAGCTACCTTGTCAGTCAGGAGCTCTGGCTGGTGATGGAGCACATGGACGGAGGCTCTTTGACTGACGTTATTAGCGAGACATGGGTGGCCATAGGACAGATAGCAGCTGTCTGTCGGGAGGTAAGGGATCCCACTTGTGCTTCTGATGGCTTGGAATGGATTGTCCTTGTAAAGAGGCGGTGTGAACAGCAGTGATTTCATCTTCAGAGCTTTGGTCCTCTCTTGCTCTTATGATCCAGAGGAGAAAGAGGCTCTCAAGTTAACTGCCCGCCAGTGTCCCTGCTCTTTCAAAGCTAATATGCCTTCACTTGGAAAGACACTGCTCTCCTAGTGTTGCAGCAGCAAGCTCTTCCTCTTGACAGCACCGTGCCCTGTCATTGCTCACTGTTCCCCTAGAAATGGTTGAATCTTTTACAGAAGTTCTTGGGTGATGAAATGCGATCCCTAAGTTTTACCCTCCTGTTTGTTTTGTCTCTCTCAGTGCCTGCAGGGACTGGCTTTCCTTCATTCCAACCGGGTCATCCACAGAGACATCAAAAGCAACAACATTCTTCTGGGCCTGGATGGAGCGGTGAAGTTGGGTGGGTATTCTTGCTTGGGCTCAGCGTTCCGGGGATGCAGTGTGGGGCTGCTGTGGAGTCACTGCCATGTCCCCAACAGCGGTGCTTGGCAGAGTGCACGGACCACTCCTGCAGGCGAAGAGCACAGCTGCAAGGGGCAGAGAGGTCTAGAGAGGAACATGATGTTAAGAGTGGCTTTGGTTTGGGTGCGTCCCTTCTAGGGGCGGCGAGTTCCAATCAAAACTTTCAGGTGAATAAATGAAAGGCACTGCATGAAGCATGGGGCTTTTGTTCAGGGGACAACGCCTTATTTGCTTGGTTGCAGCCTTGAGGAAACAGAGCACGGCCACTTTCCCTGATACATCCAGCACCGCACTCTCAGACTTTGAGTGGGCAATTCTTTTCCTTGGGTTCCTCACTGAAGCTTGTCTGAACAGTGTTTGTCTTTGTCCTCAGCTGATTTTGGCCTCTGTGCTCAGCTCAGCCCTGAGCACAGGAAACGGAGCTCCATGGTCAGGACTGTTTACTGGATGGCCCCTGAAGTTGTGAGAAGCCAACCCTACGGCCCCAAGGTGGACATCTGGTCTCTCGGCATCGTGGCAATAGAGATGCTGGAAGGAGAGCCTCCTTACTTTAAGGAGAGCCCTTCCATGGTAAGGTGTAAAGACCCTCAGACACCGGTGTCTTTGTAATCTGTCCCATCTTCTGTCTCCCATGAGACAAAATGCCATCCCCACCTGCTTGAACTACTTCCACCAAGGTCCCCTTCTAAAAATGGCCCTGCAGCACACCAGCATCTGCTGGAGCTCTCTTGCCCTCACCGGGAGAACCTCAGAAGGGAAGTGGCACGTAGCCACTTCAGAAACCTTTCCTCTTGGCCTTCAGCGATGCTGGAAATATCTGGGGCGCTTTTGGATCTCTCTGAGCTCTATCTCAACCAGACAGTTTCAGGCTCCTAAACCATCTCTGTATTGTTCTGTCCTGTGTCTGGGTGGTCTGGGTAAGTTTAGGATCTTGCTTTCACAGACTGCAGCCCTAACTGTCTGCCGAATCCTTGGCTGTTTCTTGGGACATGAAAGAAATTGAGGGGCTTATTGCCCCTTTGCAGCTCCTGCAAACACGGATTTCCTTTGAGCTGGACTTGTTTCTCTTTGCTGGCTGCATCACAGGAAACCAAAGTTCAGCTTCCCATAGACCTTTTTCCGTGCTTGTAGAAATCTTGCAAAGGGATGCTACCTAGCTAAAGATGACTCTCTCATGATTCGTGGTGCTGAAGAAACTGGCAACTGAAAGAGCTCCGCTTGTCCTGGCACTGCTGTTCCGCAGTCGGGTGAACGTGGCTGGTGCTTAACCAGTGGGGTCTGGGTGCTCAGGTGCGGCTATGGAAGAAAGAGGGAGAGAGTCTCATGCTTCCTTCTCCTTCAGGCTCAAGACCTGATAGCCAGAGAAAGGACACCACAGCTGCAGAACCCCTGGCTACACTCCTCTCTCCTGCATGACTTCCTGAACTGCTGCCTGCAGAGGGACGGGGAGAGGCGAGCGTCTGCCCAGGAACTTCTGCAGGTAAAGAGGGAAGCGGCTGCAGGTGGAACAGCTGTCCCATCTCAGGCCTGGCTTCTCGGCTAAACGCCAAGGCATCAGATGGGCCCCCCTCCTGGTAATCTCCACGCCTGGTGCTTTTCCAATGAAAACTAAGTAGGATCCTACACTGCTTGGGGTTGCAAGGCACCTGCGAAGGTCATCAAGTCCAACCGCCCTGCCCTGGGTGGGGACACCTTCAAGGAGGTCAGGTTGCTCCCAGCTCCTTCTGGCCTGACCTCAAATGTTTCCAGGGCTGGGGCACCTCCCAGCTCTCTGGGCAACCTGTGCCAGCGTTTCACCGCTCTCCCCGTAAACAGTTTCTTCCCTAGACCCAGTTTGAGTTGACTTTCTTTTAGTTTCAATCCAGTTCCCCTATTGCAACTGGCTCAGTGAACAACTGTGTCCCCATGCTTCTTCTAAGCCCCCTTGAAGTATGGAAAGGTGGTAAGAAGGTCTCCTCGGGGCCTGCTCTTCTCCAGGCTGAGCAAGCCCAATTCTCTCAGCCTTTCCTCAGAGGAGAGCTTCCACCTTCTGATCATTCCTGTGGCCTGCTTTTGCACTTGGATGCTGCATTCAGTTTGACCTGGTAGCAAAAGGCCTGAAGTAGGACGATGCCAGGCCTGAAATGGTGCTGGAGGAGCCCAACGGAAGCAGTCCCAGCCGAGTGGTCTGAGATTTGGCTGTGTTTGAGGTGGTGGAGGATCCTGAGCAATGGCTTATGCCTCTCCTCTCTTTGGGCAACTAAAGTAGTCCATGCCTGGAGAAAAGAGGAACCTAAGGGAGTCTCCTGAAAGGAGCAAAGCCCTGGGACAGCAAGCAGCATTCCCAGAGTGCTGTCAGGGCAAAACACCCAGGAAGCAGAAGACACCCTGAGGAATGGATTTGTGGATTATGGGCCAGCTTTGCCTGGAATAGCAAGGTCCTGGACATGAAGACAGAGATGCAGATGTTCCCCTCCGTCCTATTTCTGCATCTTTCTGGCAAGCAGAGGAGTCCTGCTTCAGCCTGTGAGGAAGGGAGTTTGGAAAGTAATGCTTCCTCGCTTTTTTTTTTCCCCTTTGGGTAGCATCCATTCCTACAATCAGCCGAGCCTCTATCCAGGCTGGTTCCTGTGATCATTGCAGCGAAGCAGTCGAGGGAGTACAGGAGATAACAAGACCATTTCTGGACGGCTTTCTTGAGTGGGACTCAGAATAAAAACTCGGTAAGACCTCAACTCTGCTGGAAGATTCCCTTCCTTGTCACCTTGTGAAGAAACTCTACATTCACTTCCCAACTGTCCACTGTTTCTTACAGATGGAAAGTCCCAGTTCTGCGGTATTTGGTATGGTCTGGAATTGGGAAGAGTCTCCTTCCTTGATCAACTCCACAGTGAACTGAACAGAACGGAACTGAACTGAAGGAAGGGAGGGAGGGAGAGAGGGCTGGGGGAGGCGGGGGAGGGAGGTGGGGGAGGGAGGGAGGAGGGGGGAGAGAGGGAGTGAGGGAGGCAGGAGAGGAAGGGAGGTGAAGTGAGGGAGAGAGGCAGGAAGGAAAGAAGGCCAGGAGGCAGAAAGGCAGGAAGGCAGAAAGGCAGGAAGGAAGGAAGGAAGGAAGGGCAAGAGGCATTTCTCCTGTGAGTTGAGTCACTGAGGTGAAAAGGTAAAAGGTGGAATTCTGGTTCGTTCCCAGTAGACGGCTCCCAAAGCATAGAGGGGACAGCAATGCTGAATGGCCCCTAGGGACATAGTTCAGTGGTGGACATGGCTGTGTTTTGTTAGACTCGATGATCCTCGCTGCACAATTCTATAACCCTGCAGAAACCCTCAAGTGGTGGCAGAAACCCTCTCCTGATGCCAAACCCTGTAGGAGCCCTGACCAGGCTTGTCAGGGACATGCAGGTCTGGCCGGCTTCTTGCCCACATCAGCAAATAAGTGGACAATGGGAGAAGGGTGTTTCTTTTCTTCTGTTTTGATGGGGATACTTCTCAAAAAGAAGCTTCATTGGCCCATCAACTGCAATTTGCCAAGTCCAGGGAGAATTCTGCTAAGGAGGGCTCCGCCCTCTCCATCTCTTGAAAGGGCTGTGTGGAGACCTTCCAGTCCAAGACAATTTCTCCTCAGGTGCCTTTTCAATTAATTTCAATTCTCTTCCTCACAGGAACACACTGCTTGGTCATCCACCAGACAATCTCTGCTTTGGAAACTCTTCAATACTGGATGTCAAGACAAAAAAAAAGAAGAAGATGGTGGAATGGCTTGTAATAAATAGTTGTTGGTTCATCTGCACTTCCCAGCATCGAAGTCTGTAGTGTCAGTCCCTGGGATCTGAGTAGCCCCAGTGCTTGCCACTGGAACTGGAGTAGCTGCACTGCTTATTGCAGGGAGTGAAGCAGCTGGAGTTTGAGTGGCCCCCCAGTAAATGCAGTGCCTGGTGCAGGGACAGAAGTGGCTGCAGTGCCTGTGGCTGGAGATTGAGTGACTGCAGTGCTTGTTGTGGGGACTGAAGTAGCCCCCATGCTTGTCAGCAGAATTTGTGCAGCTGCAGTCGCTCTCCTTTTCCTCCGAGCTGCAGTGCTAGTCCCTGGGTTGGGGTGACCACCAATCATGGCTCATGCCTAAACAAGATCTCAGCCACAGGCAAGCCCATGCTGATTCCCAGCAAAAGGGCCAGGCTGGTTGCAAGGGTAATTCAAAGGACATTCAAAATCTTCAAAATTCTCAAATATCTCTGCAGTCAGCCTAGAGGGTGAGGAGGAACACCAAAGTGATTGGGAGAGATTTAAAGCTTGGAGGGACTTTTATGAAGCCTGAAGGAGCTAATAATTCACGGACTTTCACGTTATTCCCCAGTTTTATACCGTGTTTAATGTACCCCCACATATGTTTCTATGTTAATCCCCTTGGTTTGTATTGTTCAGGGCTCGTCTGGACTTGCCCTCACATTTTTCCCGCCAAAAGTTGTTTACTCCCTTACTCTCCCCTCATTTCCCACTCATCTCTCACTGATTGGCTGATGGGTGCTGCAGTGCAGAGTGAGCTCCCATTGGTCCCTTTCCCCTGAATACTCCTAAGTTCCTCCCACCTTCTCCGTGTTCCCCAATCCTGTATTCCCCTGAGATGTCAATCTCACGCTCCACCCGAGTTATCAAACCTCCCCTTACCCAAACCCTATATAAGTTCTTGTTCCCCTCAATAAACTGGCCATCGCACCCTGACCTTCTACTGTGTCAGAAACCTTTGTGCAGTGTCACATCCCTATTCCCTTTTCCCACGGGCCGTGGAAAGAGGGCTTCCAAAGAATGAGAGATGGAGGGAAGCAGGGAGATCATTGGCCTGCTTGACCACAAGGACACACTGCTGGCTCAAGAACACCTTGTTTTCTACCAGGATCCTCACATCCTAGAATCATAGAATCATAGAATGAGCAGGGTTGGAAAGGACCTCTGAGATCATCAAGCCCAACCCTTAATTCAACACCGCTGTGGTTACTAGACTATGGCACTAAGTGCCACATCCAGTCTCATCTTGAAAACCTCCAGGGACAGGGAATCCACCACTTCCCTGGGCAGCCCATTCCAATGCCTGATTACCCTCTCTGTAAAGAATTTCTTCCTAACATCCAACCTAAACCTCCCCTGGCACAGCTTAAGACCATGCCCTCTTGTCTTACTGATAGCTGCCAGGGAGAAGAGACCAATCCCCATCTGGCTACAATCTCCTGTCAGGGAGTTGCAGAGAGTGATGAGGTCTCCCCTGAGCCTCCTCTTCTCCAGGCTGAACAACCCCAGCTCCCTCAGCCTCTCCTCACAGGACTTGTGCTCAAGTCCCTTCACCAGCCTTGTTGCTCTTCTCTGGACCTGCTCCAGCACTTCAATGTCCTTCCTGAACTGAGGGGCCCAGAACTGGACACTGCCGAGGAACACAAATCGGAATGGGAATGCTTCCAGGCATGGAGGGACATTTATGGGGCCTGAAGACATCACATTTTATGGACTTGCATGTTTATACTCAGTTCTGAGCACTGTTTAATGTATTTCCCCCATTTTGCTGTATTAATCCCACTTGTTTGTATAGCCCAGGACTTGCCCAGGCTTGCCCAGGTCATTTTCCCACCAAACGTTGTTTACTCCCTTGCTCTCTCTAGCCTTCCCGCTCATCCCACACTGATTGGCTATGAAGTGCCGCAGTGCAGAGTGAATCCCCATTGGTCCCTGATGCCCAACTTCTCCCAAGTTCCTCCTCCTTTCCTGTATTCTCCTATCCTGCTATACCCTGAGATGTCCATCTCATGCTCCGCCCCAGTTGCCAAGCCTCCCTGAGCCAAACTCTATATAAGTCCATGCTCTACCCTAATAAAGTAGCCATCGCACTCCGACCTTCTACCTTGTCAGACCCCTTTGTGCAGTGTCATGATCCTATTTCTCTTTCCCACCGGACCGTGGCAGGACACAGTACTTTGAGGTGTGGCCTCACCAGTGCTGAGTACAGGGCAAGAATCACTTCCCTGGTCCTGCTGGCCACACTGTTCCTGGTACAGGCCAGGATGCCATTGGTCTTCTTGGCCCCCTGGGCACACTGCTGGCTCATGTTCAGCTTCCTGTCAATCCAAACTCCCAGGTCCCTTTCTACCTGGCTGCTCTCCAGCCACTCTGTGCCCAGCCTGTAGCGCTGCAGGGGGTTGTTGTGCCCAAAGTGCAGGACCCAGCACTTGGTCTTGTTGAACCTCATCCCGCTGGAATCAGCCCAACTCTCCAACCTATTCAGGTCCCTGTGCAGAGCCCTCCTGCCTTCCAGCTGATTGACACTCCCCCCCAGCTTAGTGTCATCTGCAAATTTGCTAATGGTACACTCAACCCCCTCATCTAAATCATCAATAAAGTTATTAAACAGAACTAGGTCCAACGCTGATCCCTGTGGGACACCACCAATGACTGCTGCCAACTGGATGCAGCACCATTCACCACCACTCTCTGGGCCCGGCCCTCCAGCCAGTTCCTAACCCAGCACAGAGTGCCCCTGGACTGCCACCCATGGGCTGCCAGCTTTTTTCAGGAGAATGCTATGGGAGACAGTGTCAAAGGCTTTGCTGAAGTCCAGGTAGACCACATGCACAGCCTTCCCTTCATCCACCAGGTGGGTCACCTGATCATAAAAGGAGATCAGGTTGGTCAGACAGGACCTGTCCTTCCTCAACTCGTACTGGCTGGGTCTGATCCCTTGTCCATCCTGTAGGTGCTAAGTGATTGCACTTAGGATGATCTGCTCCATAGCAGCAGACCTCCCTGTGGGATGGGTCCGGTCGACATATAGGGCCTTCAGTTCCCCTCAGAACGGACTCACCAACTACAACTACCCTTCTTTTTTTCTTCATAGATGTGGTTGTAATCTATCTGGTAGACAGGGTGCAACCAGGAGACCCTCTCAACAGATCTTCCTCCTGACTGTCCTCTATCTGATTCTCTGGGTCCAGGGCCTCACACCTGTTTTTTAAGGGCACCAATGGAGGTGATGGGGGTCAGGAGGGGATTCTTTATGCCTCTCTGATCACAGACCTGTTTTCATTCCCCCCCATCTACTTGGTTTGCTCCAACTGCCTGATGGCAGGAGGGGCAGGGCTTCACCATCTCCTGCTGGACTTCTTTTGGGGTCAAAAGACTCCATCAGTCTGTTTCCCTTTCACTTTCCCTAATGCTTCTTAGCCTCCCTACCTCTTCCTTGAGCTCTGCCAACAGGTACAGCAAATCATTCATTCACCTGTTCACATTGTACACAGATGTCACTCACACTGTCCTCAGGTACTAACGCCAGGCTGAAACACTCTGCACAGCCAGAGACCTGAACAGCTGCATCCATCTTGGTGTCCTTCCTGGGGGGTTCTGTCTGTGCTAACACACCTCTTGTGATACCAGCAGCAATGGCTTTCACTTTTTTTGAAACCATGGCTGGCTTTAGTCAAGTTGCAGGGCAAAGGGAAAAAAAAAACCCTCATCCAAAAGACCTGAGAGGTGGCTGTGTCCTTCCTGTTTCCCCTGCCTGAGTGAACTCCTTCTCCCATGAGCTGCTTTCCAACAGGCCAGCCCTCAGCCTGTGCTGGTGTGTGGGGTTATTCTTCCCCAGGTGAGGACCCTGCATTTGCCTCGGTTGAACTTCCCATGACTCCTCCCCAGCCTGTTGACCTCCTTCTGAAGGGCTGCACAACTCTCTGGGTATCGCCCACTCCTCCCAGCTTTGTGTCCCCAGCAAACTTGCTAAGCAAGCATCTGTCCCTCCATCTCCTAAACCAGTAGTGCAGAAAACATGAGAATGAAAACCTTAGCCCAGGCTCTGTGGAGGATAAACATCACCCCACGGAACACAGACAGCAAGAGTGGTAGTATGGATCGAGTGCCTGAGCACACGTGCAGGAACACTGAGAGCAAATGAAACAGCATAATGGCCAGCATCTGTGCAACTAATAGAA